TGGAGTTTATCTAATTATTCTTGAGTAATGTTTATAGTTTTTATTACTCTTCTAAGTGGTGTATTATTATTATATAAAGATATTTTAGATGAATTATTTTGTTTATTTGTATTATTTGTTGGATGATTATCATTACCTCCTTGTTGTGAGTTGTTTGTTATTTTATTTTGTGTTAATATATAATCTAATATATCTTTTATTTTAAATTGTTGTATTAATGAATAAATATCAAAAATTGAAACAGCAACATCTGATACATCTTCTACTTTCTGTACTATAACTTTACCAACTTCAATTACTGCATCTCCACATAACTTTTTTAGTTTATTTTTTAATTCACTTATTTCTATTTTCAATTTATCTAATAAATCTTGATTGTTATCATGTTTTAAACTCTCTGCTATTTCTTTAATCCTTTCTATTGTGAATTCAATCTATGAATATTTATTTGTAAGAATCTGTGCTTCTGTATTTAATCTTTTTATAATCTTTTTATAAAATTCACTAACATTTGAATCAATAAATAATGAAGTATATTTTATGTTAAGTTAATGTAATTCCAAGAATAGTTTCTGTATTTGTTAAATACAAGTGTTTGTATTTAATTACAAATTGATTAAGCATTTTCCTAAGAATTATCATTAATTTAAGTTCTTCAAATGATTTATCACTTAAAAGTTCTTCTTGTCTTGTAAGATAATAATTCACTCTATTAATAACAAAACAAAATTCTAATCTTTTCCATTCATTTAATGTTGGTTGAATCTCTCACTCAGCTTCATTCAATATATCAATTAATGTTTTGAATTTATAACATAAACTTTTATATGAAGACATTAATTCATAAAATTTTAATTCTATGATTTGATACAAACTAGTATAACAATCTGTAATATAACCACTATTCCCATTAAAATTATTTTCAATATAAATACCACATATTTTACCTGATTTTATTTCATTTCCATATTTTTCAATTAATTCTTTTGGTTTATATACATGAAATGTCAACTGACGTATTCTGTTATCATCTTCTGATGTTTTTGAAGATAATTTTGTTGCTAAAATATTACACCAACAACTACATCCATGATACACTTCATAAAATGGAATTAAACAAATAGCAAAAGTTCTTAAAAGTCCATGTGGTTCTTCCTTTTCTGCAATTTGTTTTAAATTACTTTTAAGGATATCATGAATAATAAACTAATGTTCTGATAGTTCATTTTCTAATCATTGATTTAAAATATTATGTATTTCACTGAAATGATTATTGAAAAAACAAGGTATTCTTTCCTATCTTGTTGAAAGTGTACATCAGGTTCAACAACTATCTCGTTTTGTTCTTCTTGATGGTTTGAAATTTTATACCTATTTTATGGAATTGAAATATATTTTGTGGATAATGTTCTATAAGATATGCCATTTCTGCTCTTCTTTTCGTTCTTTCA